CCTTGCACAAGGGCATCAAATAAGCCCTTTGCAAATCCAGAATATTCACCTTCTTACAGTTTGAAAGGACAGTGACAGCTTTAGCAGCCACCCAGCTCTTCACAAAGGTCAAAGAAAACTTGATTTAATCATCATCCTCCTCCACCTTTATTTTAAAGCCTCACCAAATGTGGAAAGAACCCCAACACCAAACCCACAGCATCTGTACCTCTGAAACATTCATCACAGAAAGATGAGTCTTCCCACATTTAATCACTTTACCACTTGCACTTGCTGCATGGCAGTGTTCCGAGGAGGCAGTTTCTCCTGGACCACTTAACCACAAATTTACACATAGCTCCCCCAAACTACACGCTGTACCAAAACTCATCATCAAGAAAGATCATTCCCTTCAATATACCGACCATGCAGCCACAGACTTTTTCCACTCAAAAGAAAAGGACTGTGGTTAGTTTTAGCTCAGTTTGCCATGTAATTCCTACCACTTGATTTGAGGGCTTCATACCACACAAGAGGACACTGGTGGGAAGCGTAGCACACACTACCATTTTACTAGCTAAAGCACCCTTCAGAACAACTCTGTGTGCCATGCTCTGTGTCCTTCCCCATTACCCAAGAGAGGAAAAGAGATCTGAGCATGCTTTTACAGCCTGTTGTCCCCAAGACATAGTTAACTGAAGGTGCAAGTCAGGTCTGTACAGTGGTACACAATCTTCACTTACCACATACATTAGCCAAGTATTTAGAAAACAATACCAATTCCAGGAATCAGACATAAAATATCTACAATTCTCTCCTACCTGCTGGCCCTTAACAATACTCTTGAACTAGGGTGAAAAACAACATGACTGTACTTTGTCCCTCACCCACCGATTCTTCCTCCAGCTGCTGAATGTTTCACAAGTGTAAGGGACAGCAAGACTTCTGCAGGGGTTGGGGAGCCTGACAAACTGCACAGCTCAGCCATTGCCACCCTGTACAGCATGCTTACACAAAGGAAACCCATCGACAGTTACAAAAGACCTTAAGGTTTTGCTCTGTAACACTGGACTGCTTGGATGCTCCAGATGATCTCATTGTCCTGAGTATTTAGTATAGGATATAAATGCTGCATTAATACCTTTAATAATTCTGCTGGTTACGGGTCCATTTACAGTCACAGTGCCAAGCTCAAGATGAAACTCAAGTATAGATTTGAGTGAAATATCAGTAGGAACTCTGCAATAGGATTTGCAAGCCAGAGGCACAGAATCCACGGAACATCACAGTACAAGGCTAAAAGTCTGTCTTGGCAGTAACTTGCATGTTGCCAAAGGGATTTTATTGCTTCTGAAGTATAAGGCTTTCTGCAACCAGCTTTTTTTTTTTTTCCAGGATGAACAGAAATTCTACATAAATCCATGCACATTAACATTCTACATGCTCTAAAGAACAAGCTCAATTTTACTCCTCCTTTGCTAAGTTTAAAGGGGTGAATCATGAACACTCAATCCAGTCTGGTAGATCAGCACATCAGAGACACGGAGTGCAAGTCAACCCTGATCAAACAATGCTGATCTCTCCAGTAAATTTTTCAACTACTGTTGGAAACACACTTGTTATTGCTGCAACTATCACCCATCAAATGGTTCCATCAAATTATATACCAGTCACATCATACAGGCAGCTGATTACACCATGTGTTTCTAAACACCCATCCCATGACTACCTGAAACAACTAATAAGCTTAAAGTAAATGGAAATGTAATTTTGCTTAAAAAGCATCCCATGATCAACAAGAGGAAACAGCACACATTAAATATAGGATACTTCTGTGCTTTCCTTCCCCAGCAAACTGGAAAATATGAGGAGACAAATCACTGTTCTGGCCTAAGTACCCAGTGCACTGGACACTGATGTGTTTTCAAAGCTCTACCCCAATTAAAAGAAAGGAACTCGTGCCAATTTCATACCTAGAGTCATTTAATCTGTTGGTGCAACCCTTTTCCTCAGTAACCTGTAACACTTACCAAAGTCCTACACTGAAGACATAAAAAATAATACTTCAATGCTGGTGAGCACAATTTCACCAACAAAATGTTCAGGGGGAAGAAAGCGTCACAAAACCAGTTTGTATTGTTATCGAAGATGAATGTAAGATTGCACACACACCTGCAAATATTTAAAGAAGCAGAAAGAACTATTTATAAACACTTCTCTACTACTGCTGTTTTGTGAAGAAACACCTTGGTATCACTTGCTCGCTTTTAAGAATAAAACAACCAGGTCCATCTTGAGAATTCAGAACTTATTTTCTTATGTCAAACTTGTTATACTGACTCACGCTTTAATTCCACCCAAACTATTTCATCTCCCCTCCAAAACACCCTAAATGCCGAAAAAAAGAAGGAAAACTGCAGATTTTCCCAGGAAGATTCCCATGCAGCAGAGCTGTTTATATACTGATGATTCAATGTAGCATCACTACAGTATTTCATCAGTATGTATCACCTTTCTTCCCCTGGAGTATCCAAACATACCGCAATAACCTCTCTCAGTAAGCATTCGCTCCCTGATTTACTGTCTAGTTTGAACCAGATCTGGCTGTAACATGACTACAATGTCACAGCAAAAGGGGATGCTTGAGCTGCCTGCCAGCAATGCAACCAGAAAGGGCAACAATTAGCACATCTAAAATAACCATTTCTACACAGAGGCAGTTTAAAAGCTCAGACACGTTGACATCTTAACTCGCACTGGTGATGAGCCACAGACAGATGAGCACAGGAGCGAAATCCTGCAGTGCTTTGCAATCCAGATGACCCTCCTGCTACTCATTCTTGACTTCTCCATTGAAAACACTATTACACTTTCCTCTTCACCTCCTTTCCGTGCACATTTTGCCCAAAGATTTTTAATGTCCAACCATTAAATTAACAACCGCTTGCAGAGGCTCCTGACCACTACGCAACCCCTCACTAACAGGTTTTGCTCCACCATCACGCTACCAAACATGGCTGCATCACGTCCTCTTTGTGACTGAATATGTGCATCTCTTCTGCTTCCAAGACTTCTTTCATTTCCCTACCCTTAATTCTCTCAGGTTAGCAAGGGACCATTCCAAATGCCATTATCCACTTTTAACAGCTTGGCAGTTCACAGCAACGTTCCACCGTAAACCAAACGCATTTAAGACTTCCCAGGCTCACTCCAGAACCAACCTAAGGGCTTCATACACCGAATCCCTCCCCACCATTAAAACGTACTTCTTCACACCCAACAGAAAACTCTTCTAACAGAAACCTCCGTTCTCCGAGCGTGGAGAGAAGCCCCTTCACAACAGCCAAAGGAAATGCTATCATCTGGCTTTTCTTCCCTGCACCTCCCTCTCCTGAAATTGGACCCCCTTGGATATAAATCCACCTCAGAGCCTCTCCTGCAGCTACATACAAAACCCACCCCAGGCTTTGCTTTGAAAGCCTCCCTCCGCTTCCCAGCCGCGATCGCTTTTTGTGCTGCGGAGCTCTTCTAACGCGTATTTCACTCAAGAAAACAAACACAACTCCTCCGGCTCCGCTGGGGTTTCCCCATAGAGGCTGCACGCAAAGTTCTTGGAAGGAGGAGACCCCCTGAGGAAAGCGGCCCCGGCCGGACCCCTCCTTCCCCCGGGGTGCCCCTCACAGCGGAGCCCGCAGCCCCGCACCGGGACCGGCCCCTCCGCACGAACCGTTATGACACGGGGCGGGCGCGGCGCTCCGCGGTAACCGCCGCAACGGCGGTCCCGCTCCCCCCCCCACCATTCACTCACCCACAGCTCCGTGCCCCAGCTCATGGCTCCGCCGCGCCGCCGAGGGCCGGCGCTGAGGGGACGGGGGGGGAAGGCTCTCGGGGTCTGCTTGTGCCCTGGTTGAGGCTTCCTTGCCCTGTGCTCCCCGCGGGCTGAGGGCCGGGCCGGGCCCCAAGGAAGCGCAGTGCAGGAGCGGAGCGGGCCGGGCGCTGCTCACGGCCGCTGCTCACCGCCGCTCCCGCCTCATCGCGCCGCAAAATGGCCCGAGCGGCGCCGCGCGGGGAGGCGGTGGCGGAGCGGAGCGGGGCGGCGATTGACAGCTCTGGCGCACTGCGCAGGCGCGGCCCGAGGCGCGGGGTGGGTGCCCGAGGCCGGCACGGCGCAGGCGCGGTCTCCGGTCAGTCAGCGCGGGCCCGGTCCGTCGTTGGGGGCACCGGGCCCGCTCCGGCCTTGCCCCGGTTCCCCTCCGGTCCCCGCACGGACAGGCAGCGCTGCGCTCCGAAGCGGGCCGGCGGGAGCAGGGAGGTGCTCCCCGCCCTCAGGTGTTGGTTCCCAATTCCTCCTTGAGCCAGGTGGGGCTCTTTATTGAAGCAAATGTTCCTGTTGTGACCATTGGGAAGGGGGAGAGCCGCCCTTCAGACTGATTGCAAGGGCTTGAGTTTAACTGAGCTCCCCAAATACACACACCCCAAAATAACCCAAATCCAGGAATATTTAACTCCACCATCTGTCACCAACGCAGTGAGCAAGCAGAAAAATAGCCGTATTATCTGCTCTTGCATAAATACAGGTTATTGTAAGGAATTATGCAGGTCTTACAGAAAATGGCTCATTCCCTTGCCAGAGAAATAAGATTTGGTTTATGCTCATCTTTCTCTATAACAGAATTGGAGCTGTTACTTCAGCTGATCTTAAATTTCTGTCTTTTCAGCTATGGGAGATGTAAAAATAGCTTTAGACGGGTATTTTACGTTGCTGCATCTGTTCATGAAATACATCAGGGAAAGGAAAGTTAAGGATGTTTATTCATCTGAGGAAAAACTGCTTATAGAGGGTGGGGATCCTTCTGATGGCAAAAGATAACATTAGAGGAGCTCCTATAAAGACCATTAACCCCTCTAGATTAATGCACTTCATTCACTGAGGCTTGGCTATTACCCTACATAAGAAAGGACAAGAACAGAATAACTTATTAAGTAATTCCAACATTTATAAACAACAATGAAGACAAGTGTTATGTTAATAACAGAACTGTATGTATTTTTAACCTGGCTCAACCGATTTGAACCTGAGTAGAATGCTGCTCTTCACGCAGCTGCCTTTGAAGAGAGACGGGGAACAGGCAATGCTTTTGTTCATCATTAGAAGTTATTACTTTTAAGAGCAGACTTCATAACAACTAAGAGACAACGCTGTTCAACTCATTTCAGAGTGCTCCTTCCTGCTGCTAACAACACATTTAAATGTCTGAGCCTGCCACACTGCCTAAAGCACAACCACAGTGTTCCAAGGAACAGTGCATGGCTTTTGGAGAAGGGGCACCAAAGCCCTCTATCCTCAGAGCCACGTCCACCCAGAACACGTTGCAAAGCCAGACAACACAGTTACATCACGACTTTAGAGCTTAATCCGTAACTATGTGAGTAAAAAGAACGTAAGAGACCAAACAGAAAGCGCTAGTATCATCTGAGGTAAATTCGCTGTGGAATTTCCTTTTGCACAAAGAGCTGGGAGGGGAACAAGGCAAACCTGTTACACCAGCGCGGGCAGGGAAACCTGTCCATGCCAGAAGATAGAACTGCTTCACCAGTTCCTGAAAGATAAAGGCCAGAAATGCAGGTTCTGTGTTGTGATGGCACTATCAGTCATGCCAAAACCTAGGAAAAGTTAAGGAAACTGCCAGATTAGCTGCTAAATGATTCAGAACTCATTAAAAGAATATAAAATTCGTGGGAACAGATGTTCAAGACAAACACTAAATAAAATTAATTTCAGATATTTCCAGAATGAGACTTTTTCCTATTTTGGCTATTATTTAGTTTGAAACTCTCCTAGACAAGGACTGACACATTATTGCTTTCAGTCGTACAGTGCCCAAAACGGCACAGTCTGCACTTGGTTGGTCCCTAATTACTAATGTAATTAACAGCAGTGGGAACAGTAAAACCCCTTTTATGCTGAAGTAGATGCTGGAAGGCTTGGGAAGTCCCCACCTGAAACAAATAATTTAAAACAACACTTGAAAATTACATTATCTGGCACTTCTTTACTTAATCTGCACAGTCCAAACCTGAGCAAGAGGGAAGCTGCTAGGAGTTTTCTCTCAGCCACACTGAGGCCAAGACCATGTAGATCTGTTATCCAGATATGGGCTTATTCCTGCAAATACTCTGTTTATCTCTCCTGTTGTTATGATTCAGAACACTCCCAGAGGTAGAGCCTAAGCCCAAGTAGAAGCAATTCCCTTTTTAGAAGGCCAGGACTTTGTTTAGGAAACCCCAACCCCACCTGAAAACAGCCAGATTAGCTGCTAAATGAATCAGAACATACTTGGAAAAGATAAATTTAACCCCTAAGCTACAATTCTGTCTAAACCCTTTTCTCTGGGTTTACTCATGCAAAGCAGGAAAACTCAAAACTTCCAGAGAACATACAAGCATTTCTAGCTTCTAGATACAACAGGAAGAGGACCTACCTTCCCCCCTGGAGTTATCACCCTCACAGCTGCTTCCTTTTTAGCTTTATAATTCTACCCAGATCATCCATGTCCAAGACAAGGAACACAGATACTGCTTATAACCTCTCATACACTGGGACAGAAACAGCCCCAGGAAAGGAAGAAGACACACCTTTCCCTATAGCCATGGCTATCACAGCTGTTTCCTTTCCCCTGTTAAAATACTACACAGATCATTCAAGCACACAGCAGGGGGCCTAGGTGCTCTTTAAATGCCTTATCAGGGCCCAGAGAGGGCTAATTAAGGACTGATTAAGACCTCCTAATGCCCCTGACTAGCCTCAGTTGTTGACTATCTACCCATGGACCCAGAAACCCATTTAAGCTTTGGCCTAAGGCTCAGTCTCTGTTTGAGTGATGCTGTGGGGGTACTAGTCTCTGGTTCAGTCCCAGGTTAGGCTGTGCTTTAGTTATGGGTTCTTTTGTATATGGAGCCTAGCTCATATTTGATCTTGTTTCAGCTCTATAGGCCTAACTATGGCTACCCTATATGTCAGATGTTGGTTGCCATCACCCGAACTGCAGATTGACTTTTTAACCCAGCCTTGGCTCTGTGTTATTGCTCTAAGCTTGCCTGATGACCTGGACTCTTAGCTGCCCTCAGCTACTATCTGTGGGCCTGCTCCCCTCACCTTGCTTGGTGGGAGTGGACCTTGAAAGGTGAGACTCCTACCCTGTTGTCTGTGTTAGTGTGCTCACCTCCTAAGTCTGTCTCCCTTGGGTAACATCCAGCCCTTTCTACTCCATGGCATGCTTATACCACAGCTCATGCAGTAACAAACTGATGCTTAATCTACTTTGCCCTGTACTGAGGTATACCTGTAGACTGTGCCTATGCCAGAATTTTTCTGACACTGCCAGTGTTTTCCCTCTAAACTCAATAGTTGCTCATGATACACTTGGAGGAAAAAAGAAAATAAATCTGTGAAGGGTTCTAATTAGATGTTTGGGTACAACAAAGGAGTAAAGAGAAAAAAAATATGTTTAATTGCAGCTGAGAATAACTGTATGTGCTAGAAACAGCACATGTAGAGCTGCGTGAATCTTGTCTGGAAGCTACAATGAAATGTATAAATGTAATGGTGAGTGTTGGTGTTATAGCATATTCATTACAGAAAGCAGCCAGTTTGCATATTGATACAGATGTAAGTTTAAGTACAGACATTCTTTTAATATACAAAATGCATAGCCAAAGAAAGCAAGCATGTTATAATTTCTGGTTTTGAAATCATTTAGTCCAGGTAAGTGGCGAACTTGGTATGATATCCCAACAGTTTGCAGAGTTACATAAAAAAACAGAATTTTTCAGACTCTGTGGGATAAAAATCCCTGATTGCTCTTAAGAAGCATCTTCAGACTGCTGGAGGCTTTTCAGCTGAACCAGTCCCCATAGTTACAGGGGAAAGCCTCATGCTATCAAGTAAAAGTGGGATACTTAGTGGAACAAGGTGTGAAAGGAAACCTGTGCTGCAGCTGTTTGTTGGGAGCCCAAAGCCTCCAGGTTTCCCAGGCGGTCCTTGCACAGGAATTATAATAATTAGAACATAAAAAAAATTAATTTAAATAAAATATCTGGACTAGCGTCACCTTTTCAGAATAAATTATCTGATGATTAGTTATGTAGGCTTCTTACCGTCTGGGTGATGCAGCTACGTGCACTACAAGGCTTGATGCTGACAGGACATCTAGCGGCATGCACGAGTTACTGCCCTGAGTCCTACTAGAAAACATTGATTTTATTTTTTTCATGCTTCCAGGTATTTTCCGGTACCAGTCCAGGTTTCTTTGACTGATGGTGACATTTCTGTGCTTATTTTATTACCTAAGAGTATTAAAAGGAAGGGGGGGGGAAGATGGGACATTCTACATAACTTGCTAATTAGTCAAGACTACTGATTTTAATCTGCTTTTTCACCATCACTTGCACCTTACTTGCCTGGTCCAATCCAGTTGTTTATTTGGCTCTAGGTGAAGAAACTTGCACAGCTGTTACTCCATACACTGAAAGGGAAAATCAGAATGTTTGAGTTCTAAGAGCTGGCAGCACAGAACCCCCCACTGTAGAATTATAGTGATTGTATTGACAGTTTCCCATTGCATAGTCTGTCAGGGCAGTTTAGCAATCTGTTAGCTTCAAAAAACGTTTTAAATTGCTGCTATTCACGTTCACTTTGCTTCTTGTGTTGCTCTGTTTGAACAAGCCACAGAAGACAGGCCCAATCTGCTTGTCATTTCATTTTTAAGTGGGATTTGAGCTATCAGTTCCAAATAAATAGCCACAAAGCTACTTCTGTAAGGAAGCAGAAATCCCTTTGTTTTCTTACGTATTTTTTGATGATGTTTGCAATTAATATTTAAACCCCAGCTTTAAACAGAAAGGTTTTCAGTTGTTTGGGCTACCTGATGCTTGGAACACCTGCTCTCACCACAGGTCCCAGCAAGCAGCTGAAATCTCTTAAGTGATGCACTTCTGAGCTAGAATCAACAACCCTAACCCCTCCGTGAGCTGTGCTGCACGACTGAGGGGGGAAGAACTCCAGCTTTTGCCTGGGGACAGTGCAGCTCTGTCTCCTTACCCTAGGCCTTGCTGAGCACCGCCACAAAGGCTGCTCGAGGGGGCTTCTTTGTGGCCGGGGACCCCTTGTGGGAGCAGCGAGGAGGGAGCCCACCACAGCCCTCGCACCCTGGGAGGCGGCCTCCGGGTGGGGAACATGCGGCAGAGCCCAGATGGGCCCTAGAGAGGAGAGGAAAGCGCCGGGGAGCCTCAGAACGCCGACAGCAGGGCATGAACCCCGGTGAAGAAACGAGCGTCCGGTACCGGCGGTGCCCACGGTGAGGGGCAGCTCCGCCACGGTCACGTGCGGCGCTCCGTGACCCCGGAAGTGGTGCGGGAAGAGGATGCTGATGCTGGACTAAACATGGCGGCCCGCGGCGCTGGGGCCGCGCTGTGTCGGGCGGTGGCCGTGCTGGGGCTGCTGCTGCTCTGGGCGAGCTCAGCCGGTGCCCGCGTTCATCACCTCACCCTCAAAGTAAGGTCTGCGCCGCACCCGGCCCTGCTGGCTCGGCCCTCGCTTGCGCTGGGCTACCCGCCGGGTCGCCTGAGGGGAGCGGCGGTAGGGCCTGGCTCTTTCCGCCTCCCGCGGGCCGGGGCTCTCCGTCACCCCCCTACAGCTTCGTCCCGCTGCCTTCCCTTGCCCTTCTTCTCTGCTCTCTGGAATCCCCCCTGCCCCTCAGCCTGCTGGGCCCCTCTGCGTTCTGCTTTCCCTGATATTGTCCCTTCTCCCCGCATCCCTTTAGCTCTCATCCCTGCTTTTACTGGAGCCTCCTTTTTCTTAGTCATACGGAAAATGTGCGAAGGGGCATCAGAACTGTAGCGGGTTGAAGGTGGAAATGCTTCCCATCCTGTTGGAAGTGAGGCAGAAAGCTGTGTGTGGTAAGAGAGGGCTGAACATGAGCTGAAGAGGATTTGGGGTTGCTTTTGCTTTTAATGTGTGCCTTGCAGTAATCTTCGTGCCTTGGTCACTGGTCTTTCGACTCAAAGGCTGGGTGGATGTTGTTGTTCCAGATGTAGCTTCTTTGCATTAATCAGACAATCAGTAGAGGTAGAAGAAAATACTGATGCTGACAACTCTTTGTTTTGGTCTCATAGATTTATGGTTGTACTTTGAAAGAGTGTTGTGTCATTCTGTGACTGTACCTGAGAAAAACTACTTATTCAGGGTTGCGGTGGGAAGTGGTGCAGGTTGTGGTGAAGATCTGCAGCTCGAGTGCTGCTGTCTGTTGTGCTTTAAATGGGAAGTTGTGCGGTTGGCGTGTGGCAGGATCTGTGCGTTAGGGGTGGTGCTTTTTAAGGACTTATGTACAGCGTGTGAAGTGCTCTATAAATCTTCAGAATGAGGTTGTTAATTTTGTTCTTGTTGTCAACATCACACAGTATTTTGCTAATGGAAATCTTGGAAGACGTTAATAAAGCGTGTGTGACTAGGAGCAGCATTACTGTGTTCTTGTAGCAGCGTAGGGAGAGTGCCAAACGCTTGCATGAGCTCCCCTTCAGCTTTGGGATACAGTGAGTGCATGGGGGATGCTCATAACTTACTTATAGGGAGTTTTCCAGATTAGTTGTTGTCTAATGTGCAGCCACGTTAATATTGTTGTGTTTCAGGAAAAGTGAACTGTTCCCTGAAGCTATAGATTAGGAGGTTTGTGCTGGTAACGTTACTGAGGATTTGTGACTAACTATTGAGTGCTGGAAGAATTTCTCCTGGGATGATACTTTTCCTTTACATAGAAGACTTTCAAACTGGCCTCAAGCAAATGTTCTCAGCAGCAAACATTATAGCTTCAAGTCCTGATTAGGGTGTCTCTTAATTGCCTGTATTAATTACTAAACTGTGTTTGCTGATTTTTATGATTGGAGTATGGTTTTAGTTCTGTGCGTGTTTTGTGTGAGTTGCCTCACTGACCTACAGAGCACTGTGGAAAGCAGAAGTGTAAATGTGAGCTTTATTGTTAGAGCACAGGCTCTCCCTTTTTGCTCCATCCAGTGCTTTATGGCATTTCTGTAAACATCAGACTCCAGCAACTGCACCCTTTCACAGTGAAATCTCCCTTCCAGTGTTCTTGCCATTGGCTCCTTGCTTGTAAATGTGCATTGACACTGTGCCAAGCCAAAGGCCACAGCTTTGTGCAAGTGTTTGATATTAGGTTTCCTCAAACAAGCCGTTACTGCTTTAGTTAGAATGGCTAATTCTTGTGTCGTTGTAATTAGTGTGCTCAGGTGAAGCTTTTTTTGTTGTCAGAAAAGCAAGCTGCAATCTGAGAAGTTTCCTGTTCTGAAAATAACTTTTCATCTTTATAAAAGCGTCCAAAAGGGTTTATTTCTGCCGAGTAATAAAATCTCTTTGTTTGAATCTTGCTGTTAGATTAACCTTGTCAAAGGAGACTCTCTTAGTAGCAGTTGTTATCAGCTTCATTAAATATGTTTAAAAACCAAACACTGCAAAAACTGAAGTTACAGGAGACTGATGGAAACAATTTTCAGCAGCTTTCAGAGGTAGCTGAAAGTTGGAGCATTCCTCTTCACCAAAAATACGGTTTTTGTTGTCTTAACAGTCAAACGCATTAATAGTGAAGCCTTATGTTTTGCGTAATGCAATGGCAAACTGTCTTAGAGAGTGAGGAAGTTGATCTAAACAAGTTCTTTGTCAGGCACGCAGTTAAGTTTAACGCTTGCGAATAGCCCAATGTAGGGTTCCAAGAGGAATCATCCAACTGACAGTGCTG